ATCAACATCAGTATCCACCAGTGTATCTACATCAACGTCAACTAGTGTGAGTACGCCAACCACGTCAGTTTCCACGACACTGTCAAGTGCCAGCACAAGTACTTCAACATCATTATCCACAAGCGTGTCTTCGTCAACATCAACAAGTGTGAGCACACCAACAACGTCAATTTCTTCTACTTTGTCAAGTGCCAGCACTAGTACTTCAACATCAGTGTCGACTAGCGTGTCTACATCCACCTCAACTAGTGTGAGTACACCAACCACGTCCGCGTCCACGACATTGTCAAGTGCCAGCACAAGTACTTCAACGTCAATATCTTCCAGTGTGTCTACTTCAGCATCAACAAGTAAGTCGAAATCAACTTCAACCTCTGCTTCAACATCACATAGTGCTTCAACGTCCCATAGCACAAGCACCTCGACATCGACATCAGCAAGTGTAAGCACACCAACTACGACAGTTTTCTCGACATACTCAAGTGCGAGCACAAGTACTTCAACATCAGTATCCACCAGTGTATCTACATCAACGTCAACTAGTGTGAGTACACCTACAACGTCGGTGTCCAAGACCTTGTCAAGTTCGAGTGCAAGTACATCAACATCAGTATCTACCAGTGTGTCTACTTCAACTTCAACAAGTGTAAGCACACCAACAACGTCAATTTCCACTAAATTCTCAAGTGCGAGTACAAGTACATCAACATCAGTATCCACCAGTGTATCTACATCAACGTCAACTAGTGTGAGTACACCAACAACATCAGTTTCCACGACATTGTCAAGTGCCAGCAAAAGTACTTCAACATCAGAATCCACTAGCGTGTCAACATCAACAAGTGTAAGCACACCAACAAAGTCAATATCTACTACTTTGTCAAGTGCCAGTACAAGTACTTCAACATCAGTGTCGACTAGCGTGTCTACATCCACCTCAACTAGTGTGAGTACACCAACCACGTCAGTGTCCACGACATTGTCAAGTGCCAGCACAAGTACTTCAACGTCAATATCTTCCAGTGTGTCCACTTCAGCATCAACAAGTAAATCGAAATCAACTTCAACCTCTGCTTCAACATCAACTAGTGCTTCAACGTCTATTAGCGCAAGCACCTCAACATCAACATCGGCAAGTGTTAGTACACCAACCACGACAGTTTTCTCGACGTTCTCAAGTGCAAGCACAAGTACTTCAACATCCGTATCCACCAGTGTATCTACATCAACGTCAACTAGTGTAAGTACACCAACAACATCGGTGTCCAAGACCTTGTCAAGTGCGAGTACAAGTACATCAACATCAGTATCTACTAGTGTGTCTACTTCAACCTCAACAAGTGTAAGCGCACCAACGACGTCAATTTCCACTACATTGTCAAGTGCAGGTACAAGTACTTCGACATCAGTGTCCACCAGCGTGTCCACATCAATATCAACAAGTGTGAGCACACCAACAACGTCAATTTCTACTACTTTGTCAAGTGCCAGTACTAGTACTTCAACATCAGTGTCGACTAGTGTGTCTACATCTACGTCAACCAGTGTGAGTACACCAACAACGTCAGTGTCCACGACATTGTCAAGTGCCAGCACAAGTACTTCAACATCAGTGTCCACCAGTGTGTCTACATCAACAGGAACAAGTGTGAGTACACCAACAACTTCAATTTCTTCTACTCTGTCAAGTGCTAGTACTAGTACATCAGCATCAGTGTCCACCAGCTTGTCTACTTCCACGTCAGCTAGTGTCAGCACACCAACAACGTCGGTTTCTTCGACTTATTCTAGTGGCAGTTCAAGTTACTCAAAGTCAATTAGCACCAGTTTGTCTATTTCGACCTCAAGAAGTGTGTCCACATCGCTGAGCACAAGCACGTCTAAGTCAACTTCAGCATCCACAAGGTATGGTAATGGAAATATTTTGGCTT